CGTCTACGTACTCGTAGTACGTACGTACGTCTCGTACGTCTTACGTCGTCGTCTACGTCTCTCTCGTCTCTCTCTCTCTCTCTCTCTCTCTCTCTCTCTCTCTCTCTCTCTCTCTCTCTCTCTCTCTCTCTCTCTCTCTCTCTCTCTCTCTCTCTCGACGGTCATGGTGATCAGAATCATCCACATGTAAGGAAAAAGTTTATAGGAGAACCTATTCTACTGCAGTCTCATCCAAAAACCTATTTTAGAATTTAGAGATGGAATTAGGATATGTAGCACATCCTAACTTTAGAGGCAAACCATGTTTAGATTAAGGGTGTAGTTTGTATAGAGCCTAGGCTCTAAACAATCAAATTAGAGCCTACCTTCAAATAGTGTCGAGAAATGTGGTTTTAATATTGAAAATCTTTATAATAGACTTAAAATATATTTTCATCTTTATTTAGAAATGTTAAATCTTCAAAAATAGTGTAGATCGACAGATCTATAAAAACTTGGAAATATTGAAAATGGGCTGTGCAAAAATGTATTACAAAATACACTATTTTCAAAACTTGAAATCTATTTTTTTCTCATGTTCATGCATCTTGATGTTGAGATGATCAATTTTGAGGATATTTGGGCATCAAAACAACCTCTTCTAGTGAAATTTTGAGGTAAGCTCTTATTTGATTGTTTAGAGTCTTGGCTCTATATAAACTTTTCCCTTAGATTAATTACTTGTAAAATTTTAGATAAAAATCAAAGTAAAATGGATTTTTGAAGGAGACCCAATTGTATAGAAGTGTCAGGTGTACCAAAACTCTGATGTAAATCTAAAATTCAAGATGGATTTATGAAGGAGACCAGTCTCAAGTCCAAGACGAGTTTATGAATGAGACTGCATTTGAATAGGTATGTCGGTTGACTGACCAAAACCTATCCTTTAAATGTATTAAAAGATGTGTGGTTTGTATAAGGCCGAGGCCGTAAATAATCAAATTAAGGCCCACCTTCAAATAGTGTTGAAAGACGTTTTAATATTGGAAATCTTTGTGATGACTTGAAATTTTAGTTTCATATCTGATTATAAAATTTAAACTTAAAAAATAGTAGAGATCGAGCAGATGTATGAACACTTGAAAATTTTGAAAATTGACATTCGAAAAATGCATTACAAGATGCATTATTTCCAAGGCTCGAAATCTTTTTTTTGTCATGTCTATACAACTTGAGGTCAAGATGGTTAATTTGAGGATTTTTGAGCATCAAAACAACTTCTTTTAATGAATTTTTGAGGTGCACCTGATTCTTTAGGGCATCACCCTTGTATAAACTTTTTCCTTGAAAGAATTGTATTCCATGCCTATCTTTCCTCCTAGCCATGCATCACCTGGGCCGCCTGCACTATGGTGCACAAGACATTAACCATTATTTGTTGACAAAGAGCATGTGATATCACCTGTAGCACAGGGAAGAATATGATACAGGTACAAGGTATACTTTCAATTTTATGTGTGAGAAACAACACACCGTGGAAGTGAACCTAAATAAATTGTTTCCTTTAGTTGTTATGGGCCCTGATGCCTCTTTTCATGAAACTTTTATTTGGTAGTCAAGGGGACCAATTAAGTACCTGTAAAACAAAACATTAGTGATTAGAAAATTGACTCGAGACTTACCCAAATATTGCATGACTATATCTATTGATCATTTGGTTGTTCTCTATAAGGAAAAACTTTTCCCGGTGGTCACTTTTTTCCATGTATAGTCCATGAAAATGGGCTCGCCAGTGTGAAAGTGCATTCCCGTATAAAAAATTGTTTCATGCGGGCCTGTCTGAAAGTGCATTCGCATATAGAAAATTGTTTTAAGCGGGCTGTACCGTATTTCTACATATGCGGTACAGAAAGTGTAAAGCATCCATCTTTAAGATGGATGCAAGTAGGTATTTCATCTAAAAACAATAGAAATTAATGGTCGAAATGTTTTCTTACTATAATTCTTATTTTTAGTTTTTAAAATTTAGTTATTTTTTTATATTCATGATCTCCATGTTAGAGATTATATGTTCTAAATAATTAAGTATTCAAATCCATCTCAAAAATAGATTTATTAAGAGGCCTGCATTTCTACATGTGTGGGCTTGGCCACATAGAAACCTGGTCCTTCCTATATAACACTCTTGTCAATGTTGTTTAGTGAGAAAGCCCATGCATCCTAGAGATGCATATATCCACTTTTATATTGACGGACCATCCGATATATAAAAAGGAAGCTTTCTATGTTCCCCTACAACATAGAAGTTCTATCCTACCACTACTATTCAGCCATCAATTTTTTATCAAGAGAGCCACTCACCGTTTGATCTTAGATCCGACATCTCAAAGTATTTTATTTTTAGCTTTTTTAATACAATTTTTTTGAATATGAAATTTGGTACGTGCCATCTTCTCATTGGGCTCACCTATAAATAATAATAATAATAATTTTTCGATAAAAAATAATGACAAAAATACAGGGTATTTTGATTATTTTATTTTATTGAAAATATTTCATTTATATTTTTCGTTAGTACGAATTTAATAGAAGAATGGACGTCCAAAATTTGGTATCAAAATAGTTTATAGAAAAAAATTAAAAACAAAATAGTGTAGAGATACGACATTGTGATTGGGACAATCTTAACCCTCCATTAAAAAATGAACGGTTAGATAAAAAGAGGATAGAACTTCTATTTTGTAGGAAGAACGTAGAAAGCTTTCCCATATGTAAAAGCTCTCTCTAGGAGAAAATTTCCCGGCAAACAAAACAATCCCTTCTGAAAACAAAGAAAACTATTACTCTATTAGCTCCAAAAACATTATGCAAGTGTGATAATCTCCCTATTGTACAGCCAATCAAATCTCTCACCATCATTATCAAAAAAAAATTTAACCATTCGATTACATGAATTTTCGATGGCCATTATGTCAAGGGGCATACCCTTTTGAAAAAAAAAAAAAGCCCTTTATGACCGAGACAATATAAACACAAAACTTAAATGAACCGTAGATATTATGATTTCATACATGCGATTTTAGGCATCTCTCTCTCTCTCTCTTAGATACCATACATGCATTTTTAGGCATCTCTCTCTCCCCCCCTCTCAACATGGACCACCCAACCTAATTTCATCAAAACTTATAATAGTAATGTTTTAAAACCCAAGACTGAATTCGGAATTGGCTGCCCATTGAATCAGTCCAGATCTGCGAATCCGCAACAGACAGGGACAAATGAAATTCAATATTCATAGGTGGGAACGAGTAATTCCAAGGCTGCTGAAACCCTAATCTTGCTTCCCGAAATGGCTGAAAAGGGTATACAATCGCACTCCAGGTAATGCCCATTTTCCTGAAATACTGTTAATACTCAAAATCAGTCAAGAGTACAATAGTCACCCTGCAAGATGTAAAATAAGGTCTCCAAAGTTCCATGAAGATTTCCTAGGACTTTGAGCGAGGTTTCAATATATCTCAAGCCCCCCAATTTTACATATGATGGCTTTGGATGATTGTTACCTTTTTAGTGCAGAAGTTAAAAAAATAATAAAATAAAATAAAGAAAAATGGTTTGATAGGGCTGCAGCCTAATCAAATTAAGTGAAGCCTAACCTCATAGCTCATAAAAAATTGCAATTCAAGCATTGGAAAATCTTTATATAGGTCATATCTTGCTTGAACATTATAGTTGTAAGAAAGAATAGGATTTTAAACTCTAAAAATAATTTATATTGGAATAAATTATCTAAACCGTCCATTTCACCCTAAAAATAAGTGTTTAAAATCTGCAATATACATTTTTTGAGTTTCAGATTCTATTGTCGTGTTGGAAATTGATTTTGGATTCATCATTGAGATTTCTATCACCAAAAGTGTTTTCTAGATGAGGATTTGAAGTGAGGCTTAATTTGCCTTAATAAAGCCTAAGCCTTATATAAATTTCATCCTAAAATAAATATATATTTTTTTTTCTTTTCACATTAAAAAAATTAAAATATATAGTTTAGCACATAATATCTGACCACCCATGATAATTAGGGTTCAGCCAATCTTACGATTGATGGCTTGGGATGATTGTTACCCTTTGGTGTAGACTTATTTTTTTTTAAAAAAAAGGTCAAAAACCAAGCCATGAGAACGGGTCAGAAGTTAAAAACAAGCCATAATGGAAATTTGCTACGTAAATTTTGCAACAACTTTGTATCTGCAGCTCGATATTTAGCTGCAGTTTTTATTGCTTATTAAAATGTCATTAGTCATTACAGGCTTTTCCATTTCAATCTCATACAAAGAAATGACAATTCATTGGGGTTTACTTTTTTTCACCATTGTACTTTCAACCTGTGGACAAGGGAATTGCTTCTTGAGAGAGAGAGAGAGAGGCCCATCAAGCTATGGTGGGCCTAGGCTTTGATAGTCAGGGTGGTAGTATGGGGCCACAATTTTACATCAAGGACTCCATTACGACCCGTCAAGGTATCAAAAAAGAAAAAAGAGAGGTCCATCATGTACAAAATTTTCCAAATATTGTCAGTACATTATTATTTCAAAAGTAATTTTTATTTGAATTTCCCCATTGCACCGGTTGATCTATCAAATGTCGGAACCAGCCCGCAATCGATACTTGGATTTACTGGTTCCTTGAACATTGATTGGGACTCAGTAATTGGACTTTGTATGATGCAATACACGATGGACATGGTTTCAGGGAGTCAGCCGACTCAGCTATTACCGTGCAGTCCCTTGTCCTTCTACCGTCCATCTAAGATTGATGTAAAAAAATGTTATATCTTATATCCACTAAAAGTTAAAATGGACAGTGAAGGAATTAAAAAAAATAATATTTATATTTTTTTAAAAAGATAATTTCCATATTAAGACCATTGTCATGGTTGAGATTATCGAATCGTAAATTTATCTTTGAGATATACTTTGTAGGGAGTCTGACAAAAATAGATTGAGTCGGCCGACTCACCAAACATATCTCCATACACAATTGAAGGGAAATTTTTTTTTTTCCTTCTTTATTCTGAAGATAATTCAAGTGAAATGACTCAGATTTCCATTCATTTGACCACAGATCCACTATACAAATATAAATATGAAAGAATAAAAGGAAGGAACAAGGGATTAAATGAGAGAGAAAATAATTGGAGCAATTGCTGCTTACTTCATGTGGTCCGAAGAGCATTGTGGGTAAGACGAAGATGTCATGGCAACTCAGGCTTGAGGAGTCCCATGGAGGCTGCGACTTCTCTTGAAGACGTTGAATTGTCTGCTTGCTCCTGCACAAACATGGCCAAACATCAGCTTTACTTCAATTCGATTTCTTTCTTTAATGTCTCAAATAAGTAGGTGAGATACTCCAAAACAAAAAAAAAGAAAAATGAAATCAATTGAAAGAGAGAGAGGAAGAGAGAGATGATAAGAAGTTGAAATCCAAGTAGAAAACTTGGATGGTCAAAATTTAGATAAACAAGAAAGATGGGTGACCTCTGACCCTTTTTCAAATTTCACGCTATCAGCATTCGTCTCCATGAGAGAGATGATAAGAAGTTGAAATCCAAGTAGAAAACTCGAATGGTTAAATTTGGCTGGAAATCAGATAAATTAGAAAAAAAAGTTGCCCTCAGAGTTTGTGTAGGAAATATTGAACTGGAATGGTCAACTGGACATGGGTTGGAAGTGGTTCAACCTGCCTACTAGGCAAGTCGTGAGTAGTAAAAAAGTGTTAAAAAAAATAAAAAAATACAAAAAAATCTAATAAAATATAAAAAATATATTTAAAGTATGATTATACAAAGCACATCCAAATGAAGTTGAAAATTAATGAAAAAAAATGGATTTTAAAGAATTGATTTGTGCCCAGGACTATTTTGAAATTTTTCAAAAAAGATGGGACAGTGTAAAAATAAGTATTAATGGCCAGAACAATTTCCAATCTTTACCAAAATGATGAAAAACATTAAAAAATGCATTACAAACAAAATCCTTTATTTTTTGAGATTTTATATACATTTGTTTTTTAAAAAATACTCGGCTTGTTCACCAAAACCAGAACCGGCCGGTTCTGATTAAACATGCGATTAGAATTCTAACTGCCCAATTTTTCCTACGCTGCTGCTGTTTTTCAAATTTGACGCTATCTATCAGCATTCGTCCGTGAGAGAGAGAGAGAGAGAGATAATTGTCAAAATGGAACATTCTTTTCTTAGACTATGGACGAATGTCAACATAATGGCTCTAGCTAGCATATCAACTATATGGATTTAAATCTTGCCAAAATAAGAAGTGATTGGGGAAAGTATTAATGTAAACAAGGAGTACCGAGGCCTACTTATAACCTTATTGACTGATGGAAATTTTGCCAAAAAAGAGGTAAAATTCAGCATAATATAAGTATCAACATGGAATACAATGGCTTACTAATAACATTTATTGACAGATGGAACCAAGCAAAAGAAGATTGTGTTTTCCTTGGAACAGTCAGTGTACCTGAAGTCGATGCAACAAGTATAGCAGGAAAATATGAACAAACACCTGGCAAAAAGTACGAAGAATTAATACTCTCATTAGCAATCGATGCGGAACTTCAATTTAGGCACCATTTGATTCCAAATTTCATCAAATGGTTTTTTTTTTTGGTAAAATTTGAATTAACCTAATGGCACTTTTCACAATTATCATTTGTTGTCAAGGTTGTAGAGCTAGTCCTGGTCTAGGCATATGCATCTATATATCAATTCAGGCTGAGATGAGCTCAAACCGAGACGACATGATTTGGGATTGACCGAGACCAGATCCAATAAGGGTTCAGGTCACATGGACCCTGAACTGACCCACAGGCCGACCCAATGCATTTATCACCCTTACTAGGTTGTTTAATTTAAATTGCAAGGTGGTGGTAGCTTGGCAGTGTTGGTGGCGGTGGTGGTGGTGGTGTGATGGTGGCCGTGGCAGGTAGGTCGTGACATGGAGGAGGTGGCGGTGGAACAAATGAAGTGGTGGTGGTGGTAATAATAGTGGTACGGTCGTGGTGTTGGTGGCCGTGATGATGGTGATGACAGGGTGGCGGCTGGTGTATATATATAAATATATATATATATATATATATATAGACGAGAGAGAGAGAGAGAGAGAGAGATTTGATATTCCAAGTGGTTTTCAAAAAACAAATCCAGTTTGGGTTGGGAATCATTTAAACGTTGAAATAGAATACCCCTTGAGATCAAATTGCAAATTTGTCTTCGAAATCAAATGGTGCTTTCAGCTATGCAACGAAGTTCTCTTAAGTCTTAACCTTCCCCACCACCCAAAAAAAGAATAGAAAAAAAAAATTAGTCCACAAGGATTCACCAGATAAAAAAGGAAGATGACTCGTGCAATAGGGTAACGCCACAAGAACCTAGTGGCACTCACAGCTCCTGAATCTAAAAGCTTTGCTGCTTTCTGCAAAAGAGTTGTCAACAATGTATGACATCATATTGTTTGCTAAGCATATGATAAAAATAGAAAAATTGTCAAAAAGGTATGATACCATACAAAGAGTATGAGTACCTGTATGCTTGCCCCAGCTATCTGGCGATGGTGCAAATGAAGTGGCCTGCATGTACACAGATGTTTTCTTAAATTTTTGTACTCTCAGGTGGAGAATATTCTCAATGATATTAGTCTTTAGGGCAGAGTGACTCATTATTTTATCTGCAGAAGAGTAATAATCTTAGGCCTTCTGAAGAATACACGCACAGGAATTTGCCCAAAGAGAAGGTTAGGGTCGGCCAAGTTAATTCCTACAGTTCCAGAACTTTGGAATCATGTACATGAAATTATGGTGGAATTTCATATAATCCATACTCCTGACAATTTTCAGAAGTCCAAGTCACTTTGGAGTTGTTAAAACTGGCAGCATTTTTGTAGATTCGAAGTGGAAATTTTTTCCACAATCATAACAGGCACTGCCAAAAATAGAACAAATAGTTGACTGGAAAGGGAACTTAATAAAAATCCATTGGTTTGAGTGCAAGCTGATAACAAGTCACTCAATAGCAAGATTTGAAAAAGGTAGGCAGTATATTCACTTACTCAAGCACTTTCAAATCTGCTTCGTCATCCCAAGTTGTTGTCGATGCTCGACGGAGGGCTTTACTTCTTTCTGCTTCCACCTATGAGAGGAAAGGTACAACATCCATGTGGAGAGAGAGAAAACAAAATCACTATACGAGATAGACCAAAATGTGGAGTTTTTCACGAAAAGATATCAAGACAGTACTTGTAACAGCTGCATAAGTCATGTGGTCCAAGAACTTGAAATGTCAAGACAGTGCTTAAACATATCAATCTTTAAATTACCTAGTTTACCCCCGTCTGGTGTCTAATATACCCGGTAAACCAGGGCCAATGGGTAAAACAAGAAAGTTCGATGGTCATTAAAAAGAAAACATTAACAGGACCAGGTATTATCCTGATATTCCATCTTTCTGAACTGCAGACATGTCTATGCAGGTAGTCCAGGTACTTATATTTTCCCAAATCTTAAAGCCAGAGTACATACCTGGGCTTCCTGATAACGCCTTGCCTCCTTCTCCAGTTGGAACTCAGCTGCAGCCTTCTCACTGGCCACGGCTTCCAGCTGAGTTTGCTTGAGATACTGAAATACAATAATTTGTTACCACAAGCAATAGGTAAAAAGTGAGATATTTTAATCACAAGAAATAGGGCAATAACCAATTCTTTGTCTGGCATACCAACAGATCAGTTAGTTCTCGATATCGTTTCTCAAGTTCCATATGCTCCTGAAACAGCAAACCCAAGAAAAAACCATTCAAGACTCAAGTATGTCAAAAAAATAGAGAATCCCATTTATTTAAAATTTGTTAAAAAAAGAAGACAACATAGTCAAAAGAGGAGAACATATGCCTGTGAAAACATCCTCAACGCATATGAAGAAAAATGATGGGGTCGTCAAACCTCATGTAGCTTACCTGACGTGAATAATGCTCAGCATCCCTTTTCATGCCAGCCATTTCCACTCTCATTTTCTGCATCTCAGCCTGCAAAACATTGTAGTAAGGACAAGTAATCTCTGAAGAAACCACCATTTGCTTAACAATATTCAACAACCAGAAAGAAGCTTGATAAGCTCAGCTTTTAAAGTAATCATTCTTAACGTAAAAGGTCCCATCAATCATCCACTGTTCATTCACCTCTGATTTTGAAATGATATAACTAGTAGGCGATAAAGAGCCACCAAAAGAAAAAAACTTGCCTCTAAAGCAAAAAGCTTGCTTTCTGCATCCCTTTGACCTTGGCGAGCCCGCTCTGCTTCTTCTCTCCATGCCTGCATCTACATAGATAAATACAATTGGTCAAGTACTTCATAAATTTACGATATTGTATTTATTCAGACTTTTTTGGACTGTTGATTCTAAGGATTGGTATATTTGTAGTAACGGGTGCACTAAATGGAGGTAACCCAAATATCCAACACCGATAAAATTATAGTAAGGATCATCCACAAACATCAACTTTTCTGAGGGATAAATTCCACTGTTAGATATGACTGCCATCTTAATTCCCATTGCTCCATGAAAGGCCATACCATTGTTCAACATTTTCAAAGGTGGAAACCACAGCATTCACATCATGAAAAAGAATACCACGGATTAAAATGACAGCTTTGATTAAAAAATTCATAAAACAGTTCAGGTTATCAACATTATTATTATTAATTTCATTTTCCTTAGAGACAAGGCTAAAGGTAAATTTACCCCCCAAAAAAGAAAGAATATGGTTCCAACACTGAACCACGAATTTAAATTTCTGGGGCATCTGCATGTCAAACACAGGAGTCCCCGGCACCACTGCAACGTTTTGCCAATGTAAAACACGGTGAAATCTACAAGACCAATATAGCCAACATACCTGAATGGTTTGATTCGCTTCCTCAGGAGACTTCTTCTGCTCCCTTTTAACACGAGATTCCACTTCTTGTAGCTCTTGGTTCAATGATGCACATTCCACCTGACAGAGATTTGAGAATGATTTCACGACATCACTTGAAAAGTTACTCCGATCTCCAAAACGTGTGCACTTCCTACCTCAAGCAACGATAACTTGTGCTCCAGATCTGCCGCCTTTTGGGTTCTCTCATCCACCATCCTCTGAAAACAAACGTCAGCTCCAATCAGTGTAATAATACTGCAAAATTGTAAATGCCCGATAGTGTTCTAGAAGGGAAAACAGATGCATCAAAACCAGTGTTTAAAAATGCAGACCTATGGGTTGAATAGGTCACATCCACCAGCCCGAATCGTATCGCCACCCAAAAGAAGGGGTAAAAATAGAGAAAAAAATAGCAAAACATAAGGTAAATACATAAAAAGATAAAATAAAAAATCAAATATTTGGTTTTATCTAACAGTTGTCAATCATTGTCAAAATAAAAAATAAAAATACAAAAAGCGTTTTGGAAAGCAAATGGCCAAAAAGAACGGAAAAAAAACAAACCAAAAATCAATCTGTCAGTTTCTTGGTTTTTATTGAAAAAAGTTTGTTGTGGCTTTTGTGGATTGTAGTGATGCAAACAGTTTGGACAAATTTGAATGTATTTGGTGAAAAACTGAGTGAGAAATTGGAATTTTTTTACTCCGGGTTAAAAAAACTCCAGAAATTGCGACTCTGGATAGATCTCTTCAAACAAGGGTTTCTATCCAACAAATTATGATATGGGTCTGTTGGGCTGATCCAGAATGATCATTTTGAGACAAATTTCAAATAATTTGGTGGAGAGTTGGGTGAGAATCGAAAGAAAGGGGGACAGGGTCTTGAAAAATGGAGAAAAAACCAAAACAAATCCGAAATTTGATATTGAGATTTCATGGATTTTGGGGTTTGTTTGGATACATCACTCTAGGGTTATTGCATAAGAACAAGATGGGAACAAATTAGGAAAAATTTGAGATAACTTGATGGAGAAACAAGAGAAAAATCAATGGTTCTCCACATTAGGTTTGTAATGAAAAAACAAAATAGGGCCTGATTTGCCCAACTCCTGGGGGTACTCGGGCCAGTCAACTAATTTTTAATCCTTGATCTAAAGTAACGCATATATTACACAAAATCTCAAACTCCACTGTACAAAAAATTCCAGTGTCTTGTAAAATATGGGCAACCATTAATGATTAAAAAAGAAGAACATCACTACGCAATTGGAATGCTAACATAGCATGAAAGCATCTGATAAAATTATGTGAAAAACATATGGCTCTTATCTGTTGGAATAGTGAGGAAAGGTCATTAATGATTAAAAAAGAAAGAACATCACTAAGCAATTGGAATGCTAACCTAGCATGAAAGCCTCTGATTAAATTATGTGAAAAACATAGGGATCTTATCTGTTAGAATAGTCAGGAAAGGTCTCACACATGAACCAAAAACTAACAAGAGTACAACAGTGACCAGGTCGACAAATATTGATGTATCATGACTCATCAACCTGAGTCACACATCTAGTAATATCAAACCAACCATCTGCGAGCCAAATTAAATCACTAGGATCCAAGAGCATTAATTGTGTCAAAAGAATGTCCTAGATTGTCCAACTAAAGACAACATTGGAGTTCCGGCAGTTAATGAGACATGTTAGCTGAGAAACATTGAAGTATAGAACTGCCGGATACACTGACTAGGACACATGGGTGGGCACCCAAGAACCAGTGCCTAGAGATACCTGCCCAGGCCTAGGCGAGGCGACCTAGGTCGCCTAGGCACTCGGCCGAGCATTTTTTTGAACTATATCTCAATCAGATTGCCAATAATTTCATCAAACGGCTTGCATCACAAATATGAAGTTCCTCTTTAAAGTCTCTCCACAAGGAGTGTGATTGAAGTATGGTTTATCCCAAGAGTTCTTAATACCTAACAACATCATCAGCTTCAAGAATTCCACCGCCGTCCAGTCCTCTGCGATGAGGTGAAGTTGACAACACAAAGCTCGTACTTCTGCATCTCTTTCCTCATCTAGATTTATATATGCTTCTCTTGAACTGTCTAACATGACCATCCACATTTGAAAACCCATATAATCAGAAGTTCTCAAGCACGTGATGGACGTAGATTGAAATGAGCAGAGGGATGCAAACACACAAGCTTTGTGTCTTCTCCTAGATCTTATCAAATAAGAATTAACACATATTGGAAGTCTTGATGCTAATAATGCTTTCAGTAATCAATAACTTCTCAAAAACCCCTATGTCAATTGTGTGCTGCGCAAAGAACCATTGGAAGAGGATATCTGAATAGATGGATAATTTTGACAAGTTGATTATAGATTTGATCAACCAAAACCAAATCTTGAAAACCACATGAGGATGAGATTAGAAGGCTGTTTGCATTTCTCAATGCCCATGGAGGAAAATTTTGGCAATTGGATCAAATTAACCCATCTTTTTTCTTTTTGTTTAATATGTTAATGGGGTAGGAATGGAATCCTTGATATCATGATGTGGCTCTGCCGCCCTGACCACCCAGGCCAAGGGACATTCCTGACAAGCTACCCCACCTATGATGAGAATGATGCCACTGAAGAAGAGGTCTTCTTTATCTTTTGTTTTTTTTTTGGTGGAAGATTGGTACAATAAGGAGTTTGCGCTCACAATGCTCACCAGTGTGTTTGAAGACTAATTTCTAAAAGAATTTTGAACAGGTTCCAACTTGCATTTTTGAAGGATTTTGCTTTGACAACATTGGTCTAAATGTCGTCTTGAGGTATAGACACCTAAGAAGGATTACCAACACAAGCAATGAAACTATGCTGACCAGATACATAGGCGAAGTCCACAATACGAAAGGAATACAATGCATGTGTAGTAATCACCTCTCCAAGATGAAGTCCAATGAAACTTGAGGGCAAGTTCTCTCCAACCATGGAAGAACAACGAAACTGACTTTTGTTTGATGCATTTCAGGGCTCACATTGAGCTATTGTCAAACTCTATGTTTTTCATCAGATTTGGTCATTTTCGGCCTCAAATCACAACATGATATTTAGTGACACGTCATAAGATTCTTGCATTCTTTAGTTTTAAGATTACGGTAAAATTTTGTTTCATATAAAAACTTGTTAGAAGGGTCATTTCATTAGTTTTAGAGCTTGATTGTCATTTGATACTAAAGTTGGAGTAGAGAAAGGCTTCTGCCTGAACAAGGCAGACTTGCTCGTTGGATTGTTATGTATCTAGTTTCCCGTGCTTTTCAATTCGATTTGCACGTTTGCATCTGCAGACTACATCCACTAGTATTAACTTTGAATGAGAACTACATCACAAGAAGTTAAGTCCAAATTGCAAAGATGGAAAGGCATGATACAGAATGACATTTAATTCATCATTGGATTAATAAGATTCCGGATCTCATGGAACACTATCCAGAATATGCATCATAGGTTTTGTCATTCTACTTCAGGCATAAAAAAATAGATGGCTACCCAACACACCATGATTTAACCAAAACTCATCCTCTTAACTCCTCAACAAGGCTTACTGATAAAACAAAATAACAATGATGTGTAACTTTATCAGAAGCATGACCAGCAAACCGTCCCAAATGAGATAAAAGAACTTTGAAATGAAAAGGTATTTACTCTTATGCATATTGCATGTTACACCTAATCAAAAGTGGATAATAAAAAAGTCTCCAATGAATTAAGGGAAAGCAACGAAGAGAATAAAGCATTATTTTTAAATGCTTTGTCATTTTTATGATGCAAAAAGCATGTAGAACTACAAATAATATAGGAATATATTCAGTGTACTACGCTAGCATGCTTCATCTCAAATATTTTCCATCGGTGCTAGAATTGCTATTTTAGCCCAAAGAATGAGATATATGTCTAATTCTAATTTACCCCATTGCTTGGATAATACCTGAGTCCTAGCAAGTGCTGTTGATGCCTCAACTGCCCTCTGCTCCAGTTCCACTTCTCTTTCCATAAATGCCTGAATATCCACCAATCCAGTCAAAACTTGATGAGTAGATGCATACTAAGGGAAAGATAAAATTAGGGTAGAAGAAAAAATAACCTTTTTAGTAGCATTGTGTGCTGCACGCTCTTGTTCTGCCCTGCGCTCCGTAGAGGCCAAGTCTTCTCGTAGTGCCTAACACATGGAGCAAATCCTGGTTCAAATATATTTATTATATTTGAAACCTGAAACGGCATACTCCTGTGCCTTACCACTTTGATGATAGGTTACCAAGCAGGGATGACTAAATGAAATTATTAGTGATAAATACTCCTTGAAACATTAGAAAGCAAATCATTTTACCTGTATCATTCGTGTCTCTGAAAGTTCTCGGGTTCTCATCATAGAATCCATGTTTGCCTGGTATAAATCCAAAAACACAATTTTAAAAAGTCGCTTTGTTATCTGTACCCAACCTCTGGGCAAAGAATCATGTATCAATATAAGTGAAGGCAAGTATGCAAGACTAAATGGTTATTGTTAGGCAAGTCCGCATTAAAAGAAGCTCACCAAGCCATATAATTCAAGAAAAGACAATTAGTTTAGAACTGATTCACAAGGTCAATTAGGTGCTCTGGATACAATATTCATTGATGAGTGGCAGTCATGTTCAAGCACCCTGTTGCCCCCAGAAGATATCTCTTCTGCCGGAAATTGACAAGGATACAATAACCATTGACGAGTGGCAGTCATTTCAAGCACCTTGTTGCCCCAGAAGATGTCTCTTCTGCCAGACAATGACAAGGATCCACTTACTACACGCTTTAGAGCCCCTTTATTTTAAAAGTGTAATATCTGAAAGTACTTAATGCATAACTGGTTCAACAAACAACTTGTTAACTATATAAACATTTTGGAGAGACTTCCTACCAGACAACATCACCCAAAACTGAGTGCTTCCAGTCTTTTCCCTGGTCGTCAAGTCCCTTGAGGCATAGATTATTTGTAAGTTCTAAGGCAATAATGAAATAGATAACAGCATAAGAATGAGGAAGAGGGAAGTTGTGGGAGGGGGCAGTGATTACTTTAAAAGAGATTAATTTAAAAGGAGTAAAGGTTCAAAGTAACAAAATGGAAGCCTATGAACGGTGAAACATCAGGGTGATGTTAACGAGCTAGGGAGGTGCCCCTCAATTGGTAGCAAAAGTTCAACAAAATTTAAAATGTGAAGTAAATTCATTTCGAAATCAGCCTACCATTATAGAACCCAGCTTTTGGGGCATTGGGAGGTCAATCAGGGACGAGCATGGCATGGTTCAAAGGCATTGCTGAGTTTGATAGGGATAGTGGATAACACAAGGCCATTATTCCCGTGCCCCCCCCCCCCCCCGCCCAAAAAAAAAAAGAAAAAAAAGAAGAAGATTACACAAGTCTGAGGCCAGGGCTCTCCTTACTGGATTCAAGATTTTCATGGATTGCCCAGCCCTTTGATTATGGAAGGGGATTCTATGAGTGACTCACTGGGCTAGTAGGGATATCCTATCTTGTGGAGATAGGTGGACATAATGGAGAAGATTCTAGATATTAACAGCTAGTTCTCAGTGTATCTCCTTTCCACATACTCGTAAAGAAGCGAATGTAGATGATGAATCTTGAGCCGCCACAAGCAAGGGACTGTTTAGGATTCTTTCTCCACTGTCAATACTGACCTTGTTGAGTACCTTTTGAAGTAATCTTTAAATCATCAATACAATTAGATTCTCCAAATAAATAAGACCGACAGCATTAACAATACAAGAATGATACCTTCAGAACTAAATATGATAAATGAAATGATATGGATATGTTACCATTAAGAGCATTTCTCTATCTGTAAACATAATTTACAATTTAAAAACAAACATATCATATTATGCAGATGACAAACCTGCAAAGAAGCCAACTTTCCTTCAGAAGTGGCGGCTTGTTTATTCAGTGAATCCAATGAACTTAGAAGTCCCTCGATTTCTGAATTTTTTGAAGCCAAAGCATCAGCCATATCTTTCTCCACCCTGGTCACTGCACTCTTGGCTATAGATAACTCTTGTTGTAGCTGTTTTACGTGAGCTTCAAATGCCGTTTTTTGTTCTCTCTGGTAATAAATAAGATTATGACTGATAGAGCATAAAGTACTTTGTAGCTTCAGAAGATCAAACTTTCAGATTTTTTTCATTTTTTCCAAGTAATTCCAAATCCAAATATCTCTCTATATACATGTTGCCTCTTTTTTTTGCCTACACTGAAGCTAACTAGAGTAACATGAATGAGTAATTTCACCTCAGCGATCAGAAGTTCTTCCAATTGTGCATTTTCAGATTTGTACTCCTGAAGACGAGAGGAAAGACCAGCACAAACCTGCATAGTGGTAAAGTGGCAACAAAAGAAGTGATCAACACTACTCTGACATGAAATAGAAACAGAAAATCTAATTATGATCATATACCCAGCCTCTACACAGATTTTCATAAGAACTTAAATTCAGAAAATCTAATTCTGATCATATACCCAGCCTCTGCACAGATTTTCGTAAGAACATAAATTAGAAACAAAAATAAGGAAAAAGTTATCCTTTTAAACAAATGAAAAATTAAAGATGGAGTAGCATGGCAATAGAATTGCACAGAATCTTACCCTAGCCAACCTTGCTTCCTTTGATTGACCAGTAGAAACTGCAATTTTAAGAAGTCCCTGCGCCTGATGGAAAACTAAAAGATTATTCAGTGGTGATCTACAATTTTTCCACCTTTTATGAAAGTCATAAAATGTTTTCGCAATAAACAATTGATGCCTCACCTCATCAAGTTGGTCTTGCACTCTTGCAACACAAGGGGTGTTATCATGCACCTGACTTACACTCAGAACGGGCTCGGGCTCCTGAGGCAAATTTATATTTTCCTTCTCTTGAGAATTCGTACTTAATTCCACTTCTTTTTGGATCTTCACTTCTTCAGCGTTTGAGGGAACTTTCTCCCTTGGTACTTCATCCCCCACCAAATGCTCTCCTTTTTTGAACTCACTATCACTGGCCTTGGCCAATAGAGACGGACTTTGAGGTCCGTCTTGCGCGTTTGATGCTTCAATTGGGGTATGCCCCATCGTAGAGGACAATGCAACCTCAGGAGTAATCTCATCTGTGGCGGTCTCTATCTTTTGTGCAATACATGCACCCAAATCATTTGGTGGTCGCTCTGCTTTACTTGTTGTGCTCTCAAGTAAGGGCTCTGCGTTCACTTGAGCATCTAAGTCACTCGCTGGCACGTTTTTAAGTGCAGGCATAACAATTTCATTGGTAGTTCCATTAGAAACAGATGAAGGTATAATAATTTGATCCTTTTCCTTTTCAGTAACATTAATCTTAGGAGGTTCAAAAGAGTTAAGCTTTTCCTGCACCTAGAAAAAAAAAAAGCAGTATGATTAGATCAGTCAGTAAGAAGAAGGTTTAATCATGAATGGGGAATGTCATTTTAGTCAAATACCTTTTCCTTCAGCTTTGGCTTGATGGTTTGAAAATCTTGTTCATTGGAAACTTATTGGGTTGCAAAGGACAAGAAAAGAAAATCATAAGTAGGAAACCAATTATTGAAATGAAAAAATTCATTTGAACTTCAGAATGAAAAAAATTAAAAGCTATGAATATGAGAATAAAAATAGTTGCATCGGCAATGATATACACCTGATGGCTGCAAGTCAGACTGTTCATCTGGTCGTTCCCCAACAACCAGCTTTGCTCTTCGATCAACAACGTCAAATAAATCTGTTTGCATCATAGAAACACATTAGAGTGTTAGACAACGTGAATAGGACTAGCCCAACAGTGGTCTTTTATGATTCAGGCCAGGTTAAGATTAAATGTACTCTGTCAATGCAAGCTTGAGGTATCAGGAATGCAGATGGATTACCAATGCCCATATATATTAGAAATCGAGAAATGAGAATATGAGAGATAAATTCAGACCAAACAACAGAGTAACTAAAGTTGATGACCCATTAAATGCATCCACATAATATATTAGATCCATACATGGAAGAAACACAACCATGCTGCATGATGGCTAGGCAAAAAGTACATGCACGAACAATTGTGAACCAATCAGGATTGAACATTTCATGCTCAGAATTCTTTGAATAAGGATACGCGACAACTGAAACTTTCAGCTCCAGAAGCTGGGAGTTCGAGTTTACAGTAGCACTTCCTTTTTTTTTTTTAATAAGAAGTGCTACAGGATTTGCTTCAGGGCGCTACAAATTCTCCATAAATGAGAACCTACTTCCATCTTCCCATGGAAGTTATCCTGTTTCTTAGGAAGTTCGCCTTTCACTTTTTTCCGCTTCCCATATCATTTCTCTCCCCTTCTAACTCTCTAACTGCTTTCTCTCTTTAACTGTTATCTCTCTCTCTAAATTCTTTCTCTAACCAAGCCCTTTCTCTCTCTTATCTTCTCGCTATCTTCTGTCTCAAACTCTCTAAATGTGCATTTTCTCTGTTTAACTAATCTCTCTATAAATCTAAATCTCTCTCTCTCTAACCAGGTCTTTTTTCTCTCTAACACTGTCCGACTCCTTTGTCTCTAACCATGCTCTTTCTCTCTCTAACTCTCTCTCTAATAGTTCCCTTTCTCTCTCTCACTCCTATCTCCCTAAGTATGCATGTTTTCTAGCTAATGCCATTCTCTTTCTAAATGTGCCCTTTCTCTCTCTTACTGTGTCCTTTTTCTCTCTAAATCCTCTCCCTAAGCATGCCTTTCTCTTTCTAACTGCTCTCTTTTTCTCTAACTATGACATCTCTCTCTCTCTAATGGCACCCTTTTTGTATCTCTCATCTAATTCTCTCTCTCTCTCTCTGTGAAGCCATGAAGATCAATCTCTCGAAGCTTTCTTAGATCACTCGAAGCCAGAGTTCTATATTTGAGAACTTACAGACAGGTTATCAAATAAGTGTTGTTGAACTTCCAGATATCATTCTAGCTTCCAGGGAACTAGAACTTTCAAGTTCTGAGAAATCCCCAGCTTCTACCAGCTACCAAACGTCCATAAGTTGAATCATCATTTTTTTAAATTAATGCATCACAATTTACCATCGCAATATTTCCTCTATTAAAAAACACACATTTGAAGGCGTAGAACCATGAGACATCTGATGTTATCACATAGCTTGTTACTATTGAACTAGCGCTGCATCGGTACTTAGGCAAAGGCATAGCCTAGTTGGATGTAACACAACATGACACATCTGACATCCTAGCCTCATGAAAAACCGTGGGAATCCTTACTACATCTAGAAGATCATTCCATCACTTCTGTTCTGAAATTACAAACTTTTCCCTAAGGTTGGGATATTGAGAGTCAAGCCCTAATGGCACAGGTTACATGCTTTCATGAGAGCAAGGAGGGTAGTAGCATACCAAAAAGTAGGCAGTTCAGTAACTCTTTCATTTTTCTTTTCATGGGAAGAGGCAAGCAGGACTTAAGGAAGCGGGGACTACCATGTTGTCCTCATCTGATGCAATTAGCAGTGGGATTATTTTGGTCATTTTATTCTTGTAGAAAATTTAAGGATAGTTTCGGAGATAGGTCACTTAGGGAATTTTATTTATTTATTTGTCTAGGATATGATTAGAAAGTCCATGTAGGAAGTTCTTAATTAGGGTTAAGTTAGATTATTATTGAATTTTATTCGATGTTCCTTGAATTTTGAGTTCCATTAGTGGTTATTGAACTCCCCCTCTTGACAATCTTTTTTTTTTTTTGCCATTGTTGCCTATTTGCTGCATCATCATCCTAGATGCACAGGTCCACCCAACTTTTAACCGTCAAAACCTTTAATATAGAAATCACGTACTATGAAAGGTTGTCGCCATCCACAGACCAAAAACCACAAATTGACCCAAAATCAAGACCTAGGTCCATTCTCCACTAACATAAGAATACTAACTCCAGCTTCCTTCTCCATGCAGCCAATGGCCCTCTAAACCTTTGAAATGTTCCTCCTTTCAACTTAATAACCCATAAGCTCAGGCTTCAAGTATATACTTTTCTAACAACACAAGCATGAAGTCTTAGGCCCTGCATTAAGCAGGCTTATTAAGATGAGTGAGAGATTCTGGAGGAAAAAGAGAAGGGAGACGTGAGGAAATTATTTGGTAAAAAATTAAATGGAAAGTAATGCAGAAAAAGAGGGTCAACAACACAAAATTTACGTGGTTTGGAAATATGCATGTCTCTTTGGCAAGTTATGAAGTAAAACTAGGCTATCCACCATCTTTTCTCTCTTTAGAAGATCACAGTTTCCTCTCACAACCCAATACTTTTTCCCTTGGAATTGTATGTTATAAGACCACTTAACTATGGTAGAAGAGAGTAACAATCACCTCTAGCCATCAAATTAAAAGACATAGCTAGGGGTGTGCGTGTGTCTTTTCTTTGCACAAAGGCCGGGAAAATTTGCAAGGACTTTCAATAGCAGACCCCCAATAGCCTAATTTTACATATGATGGCAAAGGGTAATTGTAACCTGCTTAAGGCAAATTAAACTGCTTTATTACTTTCCCTTCTCTATTCATGAAAGCCCCCTTCAATTCCAAAGTCAAGGAGCTCAAGCTTCACAATGTTTTTTTCGTTTTCTCTCTTCCTTTTTTTTTTTTTTTGAGAAATTTATCAAATTAACCATGAAAGATGAACTATTTAACACTTACCCATATCTTTTGATTTAATTTCAAAATATCCGTAGAAGAAAGAAATGGTCTTGAGTTGGAATAGTTCCAATTTGGCAACTCCATCTCTAATGGGTATTTTGATGAATTTCCCCCTTTTTTCATGCGGAAACATACAAGTAAAACCCAAATACGTGAATGCACACGATACCCTCTTGAAGTTATGTTGTATGAGTACGGGTATGGCTGTTGGTGACAGACACAGGTGTAGGGTATCAGATTCTTTGAGCTCTAACAAGTAGGATTTGGGGGCACTGTGTGCACATGTGTGAGCGTACATGTGTGTGTCTGTGACAAGATGAGGAGCATGAATGATTGAGAAACCAAGATGCTAAAGATTGCAACTATACTGTTGCACAAAATTTGCAAGAATCCAATGCACATAATATGTATACAAGAGCTGACAGAGAATACAAGAATCTAGCAAAGTTGCAAAGAGGAACTCACACGTATTTGACTGTAGTACAGGCAGGAGATATTGGGGTTTATGAACTTGAGATTTCAGATGCATACCTCTTCTTTATGTTTAAGGTTTAAATAAAGAAAAATTAAGAAATAAATGTTCAAAATACAATATTATATTATAGGATTCTTTTGGCAAAACAACATGAGAAGAATCAAGATGAGTCACATTCAACATGTCCACGTGTCTCAAGTATCCTCCCTGTAAGATTCTCGAGAATCGAGAATCCAGTCGTGCCCATGACATACAAATACCCATGCCAGTGCCCAGTCAGGTTCAACATGGATAATGAGCCTAGGGTAAGAAATCCATGCAACAAAGTCTTGAATCAAGGACTTCACAAAATATCATCTTTTAATTGAAAGATACCTTCTCCTTGGGAATACGTAACTTTTGAAAGAGGATGTGGAGTTGACTGGATCCAATTGGGTTTAGTATCCTAGGGTTCAAGATCTTTCATGTGTAGAAGATTTATTAGATGGCAAATCATTCAAAATGGCTAGAAGTGATTACATCACTTTGAAATCCCAAAGTTTGATGCATTGAAATAAGTATGCCTCTTAATAAGACTCATAGGAGGTTTTGTAGGCCTTGTGATCTTGGACACCAACTAGATATTCCTTTTTCTCTAGCTCAATTTCAGGTTCTTGGTTTGCCAAATCTGTAGATTTTCACCAAGTCAATAGACTTCCACCAAGATTCTCATGTATTTGGGTTTTTCCTTGATGTGAGGCTTCAGATCTTTGACTTTAATGTTCAAGGAAAAGCTTTCTTTGAAGGAAGCATCTACCAAAAGCCTATAGGTGAAGTTCTACAGTACATTACCTACACCTCATCACCGTCCAAAGTTCATCACACGGCCACAGTTGTCTGGTAGCATTTGAATTTTTATAATTATTGTACTAATTAGATTTATCTAAAATTTGGGGCGTGTGTACATATGACCAATTCACACCAAAATAAAATACTAAAAAAATAATAGTCATAAAATAAAATGACAAAATTACCCCTGAAACTTTATAGGGTATTTTGCGCAATTTATATTATTCCAATTATTTGTTTTATATTTTATTCATGTGCATCTCACTAAGGCATGCACCTACAAAATTCAGATCATTATAATTCGTAAAAAAAATATAAAAATTCAAACACTATCAGACATTTGTGACCGTGTGATAAACTTTGAATGGTGATAAAGCCATAGGTGAAGTACTGGAGAACTTCACCTATAGGCGTTTTGTAGTGTTTTCCTTTTTTGAAAGCGAAAGCACTTTTAGTGGAAGAGAAAATTGTCTGGTTTTCTAGCGGGCGAAAAACCTAAGGGTGGAAAATCAGTTTTATTTTGTGGCTTGCTAGACAGAGCTTCTTGTAACTGTCGCATTCTCCATGGCTTTTCCAATGGTATGAATTATCCCAAATCTTCGAGGAAATATTAGCATCCCAAAAAAACTTCAAGGGAAGTTCACACTTCCCCAAACATACCATATAGACCTTGAAAATTCTGAAAATGGAAGTCAAGGTCTCTACACTATCCATTAGGATATACAAGCTTGTAGAAATAGAAGTACACCCTATGTCATGCACACAATTATAGAGAAATCCATATCAAGGAATCAATGACACAACAGTAAGTCAATAATGACAAAAACTACCTTTTTATGGTCCCCTCAAGTTGGAACATGGATACCAAAGAAGCCCAATTGGCCTAGATTAGCATGAAATCAATGCTTATTGGATGCCTTGATGAAAAGTATAAACCAACTACTCTTCTATTTTGATATATGGAGAGTGTACATCCCCTTTGACATGATTTCATATTGAGTGAAGTGAAATCCACTTCAATGTGTTTCATCTAGTGGCCATGTGAGTGGCAGATTGATTGTCAATACATGTATAATAAAGTGTTGATCAAACATCATCATCATCATCCATGCCTTATCCCAACTATTTGGAGTCGGCCACATAAATCCTATTCCGTCATTCCCCTCTATCAAAGTTCACACCCTCAGTCAAACCATAAGCCCACACACCTCTTCTCACTACTTCTATCAATGTCCTTTTGGGCCTTCCCCCTAACCTTTTAGAGACTTCCACTTGAACCAATTCGCACATGTTAAATGGTGTTGTTCTAGTTTTACACTACACATGGCCAGCTTACCTAAGTTTACTCTTTTTTCTTTTTTTTTGATGCTTGCTTACCTAGGTCTATTTTCCCTCATCTTATCGCTTATTGGAGTCACATCTAAGTTCCCTTGAATGTATTCATTTCAGATTCTATCCTTTTTTGCCTTGCCACTCAACCGTCTCAACATCCTCATCTCAACTACACTCATTTTATGGATATATTGTTTCTTAACCATCCAACATTCTGTTCCATAAAGCACGGCTGGTCTTATAGTTGTCTTATAAAACTTCTCTTTCAGTTTTATTAGTTTATGCAGCAATCACATAAAACTCCAGAAGCACATCTCCATTTCGCCCAACCAGCTCTAATTCTAATTTTATGTACGAGATCTTCTTCAACCTCTCCATTCTCATGGATTACCGACCTCAGATATAAAAAAAAATCTCTTTTAGGTACTTCTTGGCCATCAATCTTAACTACTACCTCGTTTATACTCTTATTATTAATAAATTTGCATTCCATGTAATATGTCTTAGTTCGGCTAGTTTTAAAGCCTTTACATTCCAGAAAATCCCTTCAAAGTTCTAATTTTGCATTGACACCGTCTCTAGACTCTCATTCATCAAAGCTATCATGTGAACAACATACACCACATTACCTCCCCATGTAAATGCATATTTAACTCATTCATAACTAAAATAAATAGATATGGACTAGACGTTGACCACTGATGTAAACCTATTGTCACTGAAAACTCGCTTATCTTCCCATCAGTTGTCCTCACACTAGTTAGCGCTCCTTTATACATATATCTCACCATGTCGATGGACCCTCTAGAGACTCATTTATTTTCCAACACCTACCAAATTAACTCTTCAGATACTCTATCATATGCTTTCTAAAAATCAATAAAGACCATGTGGAGCCGTTCCCTAAATTTCTCAATCAATTACCTAAGTAAAAAAATAGCCTCAATTGTTGACCTCCATGGCATAAAACCGAATTGATTTTATGGTACACTTGTTTTATGTCTTAGTCATTGCTCAATCACGCTTGTCCACAGCTTCATAGTGTGGCTCATAAGCTTGATCCCTCGAGAGTTCATAAAATTTTGTATGTCTCCTTTATTCTTGTAAATAGGTACTAAAATACTTTTCCTCCATTCATCTAGCATTTTCTTTGTACTCACTATTTTGTTGAACAACTTGGTCAACCAGAATATGCCAATCTCTCTCATGCCCTTCAAGGATACCATTTGATCCTAGGGCCTTTCCTATCTTCATCTTTATCAAAACTTCTTTCACTTTAGATATCCTTATCCTATGAATGTATCTATGAACTCCGACCTCATTTATGTCAAAGGTTCCTGCTAACACTGAGCTCCCATTGTGTTAGTAAGTTAACAATTTTTGAAAATAGATTCTCCATATTTCATTGACCTCCTCATCCTTCACCAAGACCTAATATTCACTTTTAATGCATTTAATATGATCTAGATCCCTACACTTCCTCTCTTTCATTTTTGCTAGTTTGAAAAAAAAAATTTCAAAATCTCTTGTCCCCAATTGTTGTATAAGTGATCATATGCCTTAAGTTTGGCCTTACTTACTATTTTCTTGGTATTTTTGCTAGCATTTTAATTGATTCAAATTGCAAACCCATTTGCAGTTATACAACCTCAAATGTATATTAACTATCAGAGATAATAGTCTCCTTTGCTTTCAATTGTTAGTTAGGTGCAATAATTTCTATTATGGGTACTAATTTAAGTACCTTACAGTCCATTTGGTTAGTCCCATATGATTTGTGCACATGGAATGCATAAACTGGCAACCATCTTAACTGCATATAATAGCTAGTTCTACATGTAACATAAATAAGTCAACCATAAAGCCCCTCATACAATATAATATGTCCTAAACAGGTTTCTTGTAGATTAAATCTACCAGGCTAGACACTGAAGCAAGGATAACACATGCAAATAATCCTTTTGTCTTAGCACCAAATCTTCAATATTGCTATGAATTTAACCTTCTTAGACTTATACGAGCTTATAGGATGATAGAATCCACTTTTGAATAAATGTCCCCTTTGAAGATTGTCTTAAAATCTCTATGCAGGAGGCCTCCGTAATTCTTTTTCAAGTTAAAGCATCCTCAACCACCATTGTCACCCACAAAATGGATCACTTTGAAATTAGAATGGTTTAAATTCCCTATTCACTTTTTTTTCCTTTTTGATAGGTCTATTCCCTCTAAGCATCAACCTCACTTCATCCTCATTTTCTTCTTTATTTGCAATATTCACATTGGGGGCATTTCCATGACTTGATGCCTGATTTCATGGTCTTGAATCTTTTGAAAACTTTCAACAACTACCAATGAATATTTTCAGGTAATCCATAAAAATCCCGAACTTTTAATCAACAAAACACGTATGTGAATGTCCTTGTTAAAAATTATTATTTGGTATATTGCTGTGAAGCTAGCTCGCGTGTCAAAGACAGAATAACACGGTTAACCCCAAGCAAATAAATAAATAACAATAAATTTTATTTGAACCTACTAAACATTCATGTCAAATTTACAGCAGATCAATGTCATGATCCCTCAAATTCCACTAGGGCAGCACAAATCGAATCAAGGAAATATATTACAAAATGTAAAGGTCAAATACTCTCAAATGATTCACAAATGCACTGCCTAAATCCACAAAAAGATTCAACTGCATGATGTTTTTCGCATTTGTTCGAATGATTAGCGATATTGCACTGAAACCAATAAAATAGTGGCCTAGAAGAATCAAATAAAGATTATAAACAATGCGTACCTTCTGCAACTTTCAGCCAAGAAGCCATGAGGAAATTAGGGCCAAATCCAACCAATTAGGGCCTAACAGAGAAACATTTGCAACTTCGAAATCACCATATTAGGGTTAAACAGAGAGATGAAGCATCAACCGAGAAACAATTAGCAATAGTAACCCCATAAAAGGCATAAACCAAGAGAGAATAAGGCCCTATCAAATAAATTAGGGTATACGATCAAATTAATGGAGCCCCGAAGAGAGACTTTTCAGGGTTTTTACAGCTGGATCAGATCCACGTGCTAAAGTTTTCAGTGAGATCGGATGTGCCAAGAAAACCGTCTGGTTTTTTACATTAGGTGCCTGCTTCAGTTCTACGGCCACGTCATATTACGAAACTATCCTAACACTGTTTTATTTACTAACTGCCGTTGCTATCTCTTTTTTCATTAAAAATAAAAAACAAGGAGCGTTGGGAAATTAAGGTGTTGATAATGTTTATAAAACTAGCAGGTTCCAAATGGTTATGAAAAGACTGACATGATTATATTCAGAAAACGCGTACAAAGGGCCGGTTCGTTCCAGTTGATAACGATAACGGTCATTACGGTAGGGAAAAGGCGTTTAAGTAAAACAAAAAATAGAGGAAAATATAAAGGAAAAGCAACCAAAGATACCATTTATTTTTGGAAAAATTATAAAAACCCTCCAAAATCAAGTACTCTATCAACTTAAACTCTAAGTTAACTTTTCTCACCTATTTTTTTTTAAACCTGGCTTTTCTAACAAAAAAACACCCCAACACAAAAAGTAGGTGATTTTCGGACGAATATACCATTCCCATAACTCAAATTTTTTTTTTTGTGTTCCATTAAACTTAAATTCGGACCGCAATAAACAAATGCCAGACAACTCCATCAAATGTCGGACTGCACCAAAAAACGCCGGACTAGGGCAGCTCCAGTGACATAAAACGCCGGACTGCCCCAAAAAACTATCGGATTGAACAACGCTGGACTGTAATACAAAAACGCCGGAATGACATACCCAAGTGCCGGAGTGCTCCTCATAATGCCGGATCAGGGCAGTTCCAGTGAAGAAAACACCCGACTATCCTACGAAAATGTCGAATTGGACCACATATAGTGTCGGTCTGGTCCATGATAACACCGGACTGGGGCAGTTCCAGTGATATGAATCGCCGGACTGCCCCACAAATTCGTTGGAATGTGAAATGCCGGAATGATACAAAAAATCGCCGGACTAATGTGCCAAAATTTCGGACTGCCCCTTATTACCCTGGAACGGGGCAATTCCAGTGACTCTAACATTGGACTGCACAGTTCTTTCAACGGACTGACGAAACGAAATGCCGGACTGGTTTTCCCAGTGAGATCAAACAGCGGAGTGAACAAAGATAATGCCGGATCGAATGCTATAAACGTCGGACCGGTTGGCAAAAAATCCGGACAAGAAATTCTAGTGAGCATAATCACCGGAGCCACTAGCTTAAACGCCGGACTGATGCCCTTAAACACCGGATTGACCTTATTTATTGCCGGACTGAGTGCTCCATTGATATAGTCGTCGGACTGACCCCATGAATTTTCAGACTGCCAGAGAATATCGCCGGACTACCACTTTCAAGTGAGTTCAATCACCAGATTGCCTAGGCAAAACGTCAGACTGAAGCCCCAAAATGCAGAAGTGCCCTTAGAGAATCGTCGGACAGGTGTTTCAATTGACCAGACGCCGGATTGCCCCAATAGTTGCCGGATTGAACCAACCTTTCGCCGGACTGCCCCCATTAAGTGTCGACCTACTACTAGTGATCGTCGAACCGTGCCTTTAAGGTGTCGGACTGCTCCTCATTATCGCCGGAGCGCCCAAATATATCACCGGACTGCCCCTGTGATTTCAATGAATGTCCAACTGTAGGAATATACAACTTCCTAAGTGAAGCAGTACCTTTTTACATTGTCATTTGATGCTGAGACATATCATCAGCATTGTAAATATAAAGGTGCATCAAAGACAAAGGGAAATTGCACGGAAACCGAGTGCTGAGAGCCTATGGAGAGAATTAAGGTTTACCCAAATTTAAGATCAAATGAAAGCATGAAAGTGACAGATGCTACATTTCCTCTCTTTGATGCAAATATTTGAAGAATTTGTTATGAGATGGAAACAAAGAAATCATACATTATACAGAGCATACCCTTTCTGCAATGCTCACAAAGGTTTCAAATTCCTTCTCTTTCAAACATCACTGTCTTGGCAAAAGACCTAAGATTCTAATGTTGACATCTCGTTCGAATCTCGAATTTGTTTCCTCACTGCAGAAAAATCAACAGCAGTTTCAAACCCAGAGAAGCTCTCAGCAACAAGAGTAGAATCATCCCAAGAGCCAACGAGGATATATATATATATATATATATAAGGGGACATTTCATTAGCTAGCTACTTGATAAAGTAGCTTCAAAGACAAAAACTATTACAATGAGACACTTCATTAGCTAGCTACTTCAAAGTACAAAAATACATATTAATTGAAAGATACAACTGAATCACTTTCTTCGCCTCAACCATTTTTTTGCCCAGTTTGTAATACCATTTCCTTTTACATTTGCCTGGACATCTCCATCTCTTTGTGATCTTGTACGCCTCCTTGATTCCCCCTGTAAGGCTGGCAGAACTTGAATTTGAAGGCTTCTGCTTTTGTCATTTATGTTTTTTGTTCTCAGTTCATCTCCCTCGTCAATGTCACTTTCATCATCTCCCTCCTTAGTCTCGCTTTCCTCATCTTCCTCCTCAAACTCTTTTTCCTCATCTCTCTCCTCGCTATCACTTTCATCATCTCCACCATCTCTCTCTTCGCGCTCATTTCCACCATCTCCCTCCACCCTCTCCTCGTCATTTGTTTCCATGGGAGTATTTTACAATAGCAAATCATGTGCCGCTCGTACGTAATGCCTTGATTCACCTGTCAATACTTCACCCCTAAGTGCAAGTTGTAGCATCCCTATACAGGTTAATCGCTACAGGTAGACAATGAAAAACAAAATTAGAATTATTTTGAATGCATATTAAGTCAATAAAAAAGAAAATACACAAAGTATATAATATACCAATGTCCTCTCGGATTGATGCCCTATGAGGGTGATAATTGGGATTACGACTACGAGGGGGGGCACATGGGAGTATTTCTATAACTTGAGTGCGACTGTGAGGGGGGGCACATTGGATTATTTTCATATCTATGGGTGAACATGTTGTACCAGCTCATATATTTATTTGTAGGCATTCCACCATATTTATCCACGTCTGCCCTAACAATGTTGAGTTCTTGTTGATGTCAGTCGCTTATCTCCACACTCAACTCGTCAATCCAACTTGTGGGATGCAAGCCGGCCTTTTCCTTCCTATCCCACTTGGGTGGCCCAATAGGAATCGCTTGTATCATCCCAAATTGTCGCAATACACGATCAGGCATATAGAACTCTGCAATGTTGAAACATATCTGATGATCGACACAACGCATTTTCTTTACTTCGTGTATCTCGTGGATTGTACTCCTCATATGATTGTCAAGTCACCTACACAAGAGCAAAACATAGTTATAACTTATTTGTATTTGTATTTATCTACAATTACATATATATACAGACTAGCAAATAACAAACCATGCCACATGAGATGTCATCAAATGATATTAGTGGGTCTTTCCTACGTGGTTGTTTCTTCCATTTGCAAGCTCTAGGCATTTCTGTAGTGATAGTTGTAGGCTTACTGCCTAGAGCTGAAAAATGCTCATAGATCCAATATTGCAAAAGAAATAGCTACAATGTAAAAATATAGTAATGAACAATAGCTAGAAATAGCTACAATGTAAAAATATAGCAATAAACAACACCACAAGTTACCTGTAGTAGTGTTGTTGACCCACTAAAATGTGTATATCCCCGTCCACAACCTTAGATAAGGAACAATACAAGAATGCAAGCGCTGCTGCACCCCATGCATACTTTCCTGCCTCATCGAGATCTCAGAACAATTACAGGTAACGTGTCAGTGTCGATCTTTGAGATGCATCAACAAATGTAGTTGTGCCGCCTAAATACAGGAGATAAGCTCTAGTGTGTTGAAGCAATTTTAATTTGGTAGGGTTTTTTGGTAGTTGTTCAAATTTCTCCCTCAACCAAGTATGTTTAAGTCGGTTCAACTTATTACCAGTAGGGCAATCTCCCAAAACCTTCATGATGAAAGCCCTGTAGTCTTTAGGTCTTATGGCTGTTACAGGCTCGCCTGTCACAGGTATTCGTAATATGTGCCACACATCGTATATGGTTGGAGTCATCTCACCAACAGTTAACCGTACGGTATTAGTCACCTAGCAACACTTTCTAATAAAGGCCTTCAGTAGACTACAATCGATATGTGTGACCCCTATGTTTTTCAAGGAGATCAAATTGGTTTTTTCAACCAAAGCTACATGTCGTGGAACCAGCACCTATTTTCTCAGGGTCTTAGTGGATTCATTAATACGAAAGTTGTTTTTCTTTTGAAATGGATTCAATAAAATATGTCAATATTTATTAACAATATAATAATTGTCTAATTAATTTATATCATGAACTAATATCATACCTTTCCCATTTGATTGGAGGAAGTGGATGGGCCCCTTGCTCCACTTGATGGTTCTGGGTCTTGCATCACTATTATCTATTTATATTATCAGAGTTTACATGTGCACAACATATAAATTGGTAAAGAGAAAGTATGCTTCTTTAATAAAAAATAAACATATTACAAGTAAAAAGGAAATATAAGTAAAATATGTTTTTTTAACCAAAATAAACACAACTACAAGTAAAATAACATCAATCAAATAAAAAAGAAAAGAAAATATAAATAAAGTTTATGCCTTCAAGTGGGTGCTTTACAAGTTGCCATGTTATGACCAGTTTTGTTGTACCCACTACAGTGAATAGGTCGCACTGGTACTTCATGTGACTCGATGCGCTTCTTTTTAGATCAACCAGGGGGACGCCTTGAATGAGGTGGAAGTACTCTTACTCCCTTTGGACAAAGCTGTCCACATAAACTATGCCTAGACAAGTCGATCATGGTAACTGGCATGATAGCTACGGAATATGTTTCACGAAATTTTGCAATTGTGAAATATTCTTGACAATAGTCAACATGATCCTTATTTATTACTTGAGGGGCTTTACAAGCATGCTTGCAAGGCAAACCTGTTATTTGCCAACCCCGACATTCACATTCTCTTGTAATAATATTTACCTTGTAATTTATGTGATTACCCCTAGCTTCATAAACTGCTCCATTTGATGCCACATTGACTCTCACGGAATGACATTTTTTAGTTCGTTTTGTGCTTTTGGGGTAAGTGTTGTAGTCCAAGTTTTAGCTTTCAAGCTGCGAGTGGCCATTAATTCCATGATTTGTCTCCTAATCAAGTCAACGCATTGGAGAATTGGCATATCTCATGTTTCTAGAATCCATTTGTTATATGACTCAGCCACATTAGCTGTTACTTTGTCATATCGA